TGGGCGCTCGCCTTGCCGCAAACAAGCTGCTGGAGTGACTCAAGGGGGAAATCTCAAATGCTGCTTTTGAGTTTCGGGGGTGGGGGGGTGGCGTGTACGGTCAGGGCGAGCAAACAACTGTGTTCGGAGTTAGGTTTCTGTAAGGGGCTCCTTGGGTTCCCCCCGGCGGTCAGCAATTTCTTAGAGGCATTTAAAAAAACCAGAAATGTGAGCGACAGCTATGAGAAGAATAACTGGTGTTGAAACGTGCCTAGAGATAGAAACAAGCATGTTGCATTCTATTCATGTGCTGCTACCCATAATGAGAGAAGCACAAATGATTTAGTATCTAACAGAGGATTAAATTGATTCAGGTGTGGGTTAAATACAGCCCACTGGGAGGGCCAGAGTGTGTGCTTGAGGTACTGAACGTATTTTCAGAGAGCTGCCTCCAGCTGAAACACAGGACATTTGGGGTGAGCAGGGTGCATTCATCATGCCAGCTGGAAGCTATTAGGACATGGGGCTCACAGCAGGGGCTGAACTCATCTTCTCCAAAGCTGCTTACAGCTCCCTCATGCCTAAGCAATCTTCTGCTCCCAAGAAATTGGTCATGGTTTTCCCATAATTTTTGTCTGCCAAAGAAATAATCAAAGTGGGGTCATTTCATAAGATGTGGATGGTGATGTGAACTGACAGACGTCTATCTAAGAATGCAGGCCCAGCAAAGATGTTCTTTTCTAGACCAGTAAAATATGATTTTTCACATTATGCTGTGACATTGTAGGAATACAATGAATAACAGCAAACCAGCACATAGTATTTGTGGGTATATTCATGGGGTTTAACTTCAGGTAGTGCAGGTGACTGAGCTGAGGCAGGTCTCCGTAGGCTGTATGCTGATGAAGAGCAGTTTCTTCAGAGGCCAGGTCAGAGCAGGAGTTGACCTGAATTTCCTGCAAGAGCAATGTTTTCATAACTGGACAATTCACAGCTTAAGGAGACCACCTTTCTATGTTTGACATCTGACTTCACTGGTATGAATATGGCTTAGCTTTCTTCTTCCCTCCCCACCTTCTATTTGTGTCAAGGCTGTGGTATAACCGTACCTTTATTTGAGTACTGGCCGCTTACATTCTCTATTCCTTTCTGTTTAGATCTTCGAGCTCACATAAGAAGAGACCTCACATCTGCCGAAAGCACTCTTAATTCACTTCACTGAATGGCAGGAACTGCGTCAAGACAAACACAAAGGTGGAAGCCCAAAAATGAATATAGGTAAGGAACAAATCTTTCTGAATTCCAGGAGGGTAATTTTTCTCTCTGTTGGTGGTGACTGGGTATATCAACATCACAAGCAATTAGATCCTCTAAGAAACAGGGCAGAAAATATCAAGGTAGAATCCCCATGGCACTCTCTTCACTTTAGAGGAGTGGCCATGGAGTAAATTTACAAGTAAATAATAAATAAAAGCAGTCTGGAACATTTACTCACGTAATGAATTTTAATATGTCAACGTTGCACATAATAAATGAAGAAATGTGTCATGGTTTGATTCACCAGGGAGAGCAGGGAAGGGCCAAAGTTCTGGGAAGAGGAGGGCTCCTCGGGGCTGGACAGCTCCTCTCCTTCCTCCTCCATGCTCCCAAAGAAGAGGGAGGCCTTGGTGGCTTCCTCAAACTCTCTTTCTGGAAAAAGAGTCAACCCTGGAGCATCTGGGTTTCCTCTTCCACATTTTTTGTTCCATGAGAAGTGCTGTCGAAGTATGAGCAATGATCTTGAACCTTTGACCAAGCTGTGTAGATGTCCTCTATTCCTCATTTTTCCCCTAAAACCTGAAGGTTCATACTTGTTTCCCAGGCACAAAAGCCAAACATTTTTGTTGCCTTCACCCTGTCACAAGATACAGCAAGATTCAAAACTGCTTTTTTCTACCATTTGTTGTATGCTTAGGTTTTACTGAAATACTGTATTACTTTCTTCTCAATGATATATCTAAAATGTCACCAGAGAAGTGACCTGGGCTGTGGTGTTGCCTTTTCAGTCAGGCTGGTAACAGTTACTTACTAGAAACTCTGCCATGTTTGCAGTACCGCTTTAGTGCCTTCAGATTCCTTTGGTCTGAATATTTGCACCTAGATAGGTGAATGCATTGTAGTTGAATGATTGAACTGAAACTATGGTTTAGCAGAGAGATACCCAAGCTAGTTGCAAATGGGTTTGCTTTGGTACTGCAAATAATCTCCCAGCAAACAAGGCTGCATGATCTCCACGACCATTAAGTGACTCTTAGGGAAGCAGAAATGGATGAAATAATTTTCAGTGCCTGAGTTCACTGAGCTGGCTGATGGCTGGCACAAAAAGGTCTGAAGTGGGGCTGCAGCTGAAATAAACCCTTGGACCCTTGTTATGTGCCCTGCCTTAAGGCAGAGACCTTGGAAAATCTGTAGCCTGGCAGTTCTGGCAAGACCTCCACCTGACCTCAAAGCTGCACCTGCCTGTACAGATAGGAAATGCACAGACCCAGGGCGTGGGAGGGGTGAAACAGGACCAGTTCTGCCACTAAGGGACTTTTGGTAGCTTCAGGGTCAGGATTTGTTCATTACTGCGTGTCTCGAGAGCTTAGAAGGGCCCTGTTACAAGCCATGTTATCTCTCCAGAATCAGATCATCATAGGACAGAGGAAAAGAAGGTCTTTATAACTCAAAGTCAAAGTTGTTTGGGAAGAACAGTGAACAAAATGAAATGGCTGCTGAAAGACTCTCCGTGGAACTTATGAGCCCAGTAGATACTGATTAATGACAAACCATGGGGCTTAAGAAAGAAACTCTTGTACAGACCCATGAACAAGTTTGGGGTTTTGAGAGACACTTTCTGCTTTCCACTGTTTAATTCTTTTTCCTTATACGTTTCTGTGGTTTCATCACTTTGGTCTCTCATCTGAATTTGGCAGAGGTGTGGGCAGGATGGAAGGGGGGAAGACTTCTGAAGAAAAGAGAGGTACTATGAGAAGTGATATGGGTGACCTTGTAGAAGGTATTTTACCTACTTAGTAGGAGTACAGCATCTAAACAAGAAAATGCAATTCACAAAATTTAAAGTAATTCTCTCATTTACATAGTCAAGGCTGTTTAAATAATAGAGTTTTATATATTTCTCTTGTCTGTACCTGGATTATAACACAGAGTGAAGTATATACACCTATTATGAGCCTCTCGTGATCCAAGTCTGTGAAGCCCTTGAGTTCGTATAGTACTTCTCTCAAACAGAGGTCAGAAGCAGTGGACCCAACACTGAAGAGCTAGTAGGATTAGACCCACAGTCAGGCAGTTCTTGGTTTACTGTGATTCCGTGATTTAGTTTTCAGTTGCTGATAAAAATCTTGCTGATTCTTTTAATTTATAGTTGAAGTAACTTGAATGTGTCAGACTAATCAGCCAGCCTGACTTAGCAAATTTAGAAAAGACAACATTCCATTCCAACTAGATGAGGACACTGACCTTCTTAAAGAAGTAGAAGGGTTTTATCTCATGGTGGCGCACTGAAAGAGACTGTGGAGTTCGCATTATTTTGCAGAAGTTGCCGGGGTGGAGTTATTAGTTCTAGTGTTCATTTTCACAGCTAATGATAAAAGATTAAAACTAAAGAGAAATACCATCCACCACACCTTGATTCTGGTGGTCCATCAGTAAACCCCAAAAGGATAAAATTCACGGAGAGTTAAGTAACCCTGTAAATATTAGTAAAAAGAACTGCCACAGACGTGCTGTTCTATCAGGAAAAATTTCCCCTACTGTGGTACCCTGACACTCCACACTGGTTTTCTCAGTCAGGGACACTCACTAGCCTAATAGTAATCTCCACACTCTTAGAATTACAACCATGCTTAGAAATCTGCCCTAATCCTGAAATCCGGGCTCTGTGAGCAGACACTTCTGCAAGCTGCCGCTGAAGGTAATGGGGCTCGGTGCAGGCGGAGCAGTCTCTTCTGCTCAAGGCACTTTTAGAGTCAGGGCTTGGATATGCCTGAGGCTTTATGTTGCCTTAAGTCTGAGGGTTGTGTGGAGCACATTCTGGTTTGTATCACATATCAATAATAACAGAATTTTGTCTGTTTTGCCAAAATGGCTTCCCATGAAGAAGGTCAGTGTCCTCATCCAGTTAGAATGGAATGTTGTCTTTTCTAAATTTGCTAAGTCAAGCTGGCTGATTAGTCTGAAACATTCAAGTTACTTCAACTATAAATTAAAAGAAAGATAATTTTCAGGTCTTCATCACTCATGGTACACTAAGAATGGGGAGGTCTAAATTTCCATATGAGCAGTTATGTGTACCTGAACCTCTGCCGTCTCACATGAAAGAGCAGGGTTAAGCCTCACATTCAGTGTTTAGCTAGTGATTAAGACTACAAAAGCTAAGAAAACACCTAGAGCATTTCCACATGACTTGTCGTCTCCATAATTATAATACTTTGTTGTTGGGGTTTTTTTTAAAGAAAATATCTTGTCACTGAATTAGGTAGCCCCAGCTGTGGGTATAGAATGTAAATAATATAGCTGTATTTACAATGCTTTATGTATTGGAATGCAGCTTCAAAATCAAACAGTATTGGGTTACAATAAATTTTGGATTATGGCAGAAAGGATTTCAAGGCAGTCATAAAGATGTAACTAGTTTAAGGGAAATTTTCCAGTACAAAATTATTTTAGAATATTCTAGTTTCACCTTTAAAAACACAGTCACTTTTACAGTAGAACATTTTGTATTCTCCCTCTGATATTAGCCCACTTAATTATTTTAATCAGTTTACTTCTAGCTCTTGAGATAATAACAGGTATGACTGCGTAAACCAATAGATTTTAAAATGTAAACCAATAGATTTCGAATGTTACATTATCACCATTCATAAAGTTATACATAAACTTATACAGCTTGCTCTTTAATCTTATTCTCTCATATTACAGTTTGTACGAGTTCCAGGAATTTCCAGAGTAGCTGATCTTAAGTTGAATGTGATTCATAAAAATTCTTGTATTTTAATGACTCTTTATTACTTGTCAGTTGTTTGTGGTTGGAATCTGAAGCAAATGGTGATCTCATTTCCTTTAGGTATAATTCAGCTACTCAGGTTTCTTTGTTTATTTAAAATTGTGTTCCTTTTCCTCACTGCCTATTGTTTTGCTCTTATCTGTGTTATCTGTGTGGGTAGAAGTAGCAGAGTGTGTCAGCTGAGGGCCACTGGACTCTCTCTGGATGCTTGTTGACACTACTTGTTGCTTTGCAAGCAGCAGGAGTAGCCGGCCTTTATCTCTGAACCAAGTCAGTGTAATCAAAAACCTGCAAACTTGCTTCAGTCACAAGAAACCAACTGCTATTGGCTCAGCTATTTTATTGTGCTAGGAGAGAGTGCGGTTGAAGCTTTAAAACAATATAATGCCTCCCAAGCACAGTTTTGTTGGATACTCCAGCCGCATTCTTCAAAGCAACTGATTGTGCTAGAAGTTGACTCTAGGTACAGGCTGAGCACCTTGAGTACCTGTGAAATCCCCTGTCACTGGGCCCATTTCATTCATGCATAGAAAGCAGCTACTTGACGAATGTTCTTTTTTTTGTATACAATGTTCTGTTGTTTCAGTGAGCTGTCCGGATGCGGATATTTTTTTGAACAGCGATGATCACATCTGAGGGTTTCTTCATCAGCTTGATGTGCACCTGCTTTCAAACTATGTTTTGTAGCTCATTTAGCATTTATGAAAATCCATTGATTATGAAAACCACTGATCTCTTTGACGTTTGTTGAAATTGCTCAGTTGTGACAGCTAATATCTAAAGCAAAGATTAGTCTGAGATGCAGACGTTGCATCCAGATCCTAAATAGATTAAAATTATGTTTGCATTTAGGTGTAGGCCTATCTTTAGTTTCTAGTTGCTGGTAGCACTGGGGGACTTCTGAGTCTGAAGCTAGAAGAGAGAAAGCAAATAATACAGTTTTTTAGGGATTAAGCTGTGCTTCGTTTGGTGATCCTAAATTCTGAAGTAGGGTATTTTTCAAGGGAATCCTATGTCTGCCTGCCATTTACTGATCTGGAATAGCACATTGAAATCTAACATTGAAAATTTACAGAAACAGCTCACTTGGACTATTATTTCTGTAGTGCGTCAGTCAATCAGATTCACATTCCACAGGAAAACCAACAAACTGAGGGCGCGCCAGTTGGCAGACTTCTGGAGAAAAAGATTTGCTAAAAACTGGGAAGAAGGCAAATATGGGGGGGAT